TAAATATTTTTCACATTGCTAGGACTATCATCCTCATCTTTGTTGCCATATTTATCACAACGTTTCGGCCGTTGTACACATGTTTTTTTTTGTTTTTTTTACCAGAGCTCATATTGAAATTTTCGTTGTTATTATTGCTTTTCTCTGGCACTCCTTATTACTGGTTTCCATATTATATTCATTTCTATGCTTGGTCGGTTCAGGAGATTTTTGTGGCCCAGCATATATACTGATTCCTTAAGTTTACGAATTTTCCAATTGCAATATGAGCTCTGGTAAAAAATATGCAATAATAACATCAAAAATTGCAATATGAGCACTGGTAAAAATGATTGCTGAATACATTAGGTTAATACCCAGAAAATCATACACAGATGCCCCTAAGGACACATGGCACAGTGGATAAAGGCGTTAGTTAGATTCAGGGACCGGACCCAAAGAGTGTGAGTTCAATACCTGGTTAAGGCGGTGGAGATTTTGGAGAGGTGAATTTACAGGAGATAACTGATAACTGACATCTATTAGACATGGCACGTGGAACTAGAACAGTCTACCTCAGCGAGCGAAATAAAGGGTTCAGTTCAACATTCCAACCACCTGAAGAAGGTCGGAGCGTACAACGGCCGAAACGTTGTGATAAATATGACAACTAAGATGAGGATCATAGTCCGAGCAATGTAAATAGTGTACATAATACCTCATCTCAGAAATTTAGACAGATATTAAATATTTTTAACACAATTTTATGGCTTTAACTAAATATATTTTGAACGCAATTGTATGTCTTCAGTTACTGATAAAATGTATTGTTGGACATTTTGCTATAAAATGTATTATTGCTCATTTCAGTATAAATAGATATTGTTGCTAATTTTATTATAAATAGGTATTGTTGCTAATTTTACTATATAAAATGCTTGTATTTTTTCTATAAAAAAATATTTTTATAATTTCATAGTGTTTGGGGATCCACTATTTGCCCATAGCTTGGACCTTAACAGGTGCTACTACCCCGGGTCAGGGTGGATGTGAGAACAACAATTAAGAGGTAATTCCACGGTCCTCAAAACGGTCCAATCTCCCGATAGGACGTCTTGCTGCTGAGTATAGTTTATCGTCATACAAAAATATATGTTTCAAGGAAAAATGACAATAGGAAAACTGTATGTAATTTTTTGCCGACGCGTTTCGTCCAATGTCAACTTTTTCAAGGCAAAAACGAAGAAATGCGCGCCTGAACTGGCGCCCGCTCTTTCTAAACTATACAACTACTGCCTCAAGGAATTTTGTTTTCCTGACTGCTGGAAGTCCTCTTCGATCGTTCCTGTCTTCAAGAACTCCGGCGACCCCTCTGACCCTTCCAATTACCGTCCAACTCCTTCCCCTCTTCGGCAAAGTCTTCGAAGCCCTAATCAATACCGGGGTGGTTAACCACCTCACATCCCATAATCTGCTCTCAGACAAGCAATATGGTTTCCGCTTTGCCCGATCTACAGCCGATGTGCTTACGGCCATCACTGAAACGGTCTACCGAGCTCTTCAAAATAACGGGGAAGCCCGAGCCGTGGCACTAGACATCTCCAAAGCATTTGATAGGGTTTGGCATGCCGGCCTTCTTCGCAAGCTCCAGGGTTATGGCATTACGGGTCGATTATATAACCTAATACGATCAGTCCTGTCAAACCGTGAGTTGAAGGTCGTTCTCAGCGGATTCTCCTCCAGTTCCTATCCCACGAACGCAGGTGTTCCTCAAGCCTCCATCCTAGGCCCCACTCTATTCCTTATCTACATAAATGACCTTCCTGACGCCATAACTTCCCAAGTTGGCATCTACGCGGATGACACCACAATTTATTCCTGCCTCAAAAACAAATCTAGTCTCGCTGACAAAACTCACCTGGCCGTGCGTCTCGAAAAGCACCTCCAATCGATTGTGAACTGGGGCATGAATTGGCTGGTCAACTTCAACGCTTCTAAGACAAAACTGCTCTCTATTAATCACCACAGAGATCCTTCCCTTCCCTCCATTAGAATGTTTGACGCTCAACTCTCTGCGGCTTCTCGGTCTCACGTTGACTGCTGACCTGAGATGGAATAAATACATCGAGTCAATTGCCTCGTCCACTGCGAGGAAAGTTGGCTCCCTGTGCCGCGCCAGGAAGTTTTTCTCCCCTTGCTTGGGGTGAAATGCTTAAAAAAAAAAAAAGAAAGATTAATTTATTAAAAAAAAGTTGTTGCAACATCGGAATATCTTCGTCTATAGGTCGAAGAGGGAATCAGTTTTTGGATGCATTGCTGTCATTGTTGGGATATCCTCGTTCCTATGTTGTGTTCTTGGATGCTCCATTTCCGGACACCATGTAGTTGTTATTTTGAGCTTTACGGAGCTAAATTTGTCCGTGTTGACTCGTCAGTGATACAGGAAAAAAAGAGACTCGTGATGGGCTGCTTTCAGCTAATCACAAGGGCCAGTTATGACGACCCCTTCAAAGGGAGGCAACTTTGTTTTTTTATAATTTCAATAGGATAGAGGTTGTAGACTGGAAAATAAAGCATGTAATGTAAGCAATTTTGAACCCTGTCAAGGTTGGGAATGAAAGGTTGAGTAGCTCCAGTCCATACTTGGCAGTAATAATCCATTTTTTGCCTAATCTAACTCTTGTAAGAATATAGATCATGCTGCTTTGGGAGATAACTCATATTAGTTAATTTATCTTTGTGATACAGTTTATGCCGATTTTACCAAACCAAAGTAAACACATTTCAGTGCCTGACCTTGAGATTGAAATCACAAACATCATATAAACAGCATACACTTAAACAAGGGATGTATCCACTAAGCCAGGGGGTGGGCAGCCTTTTTTGAGAGTGCGTGCCAAATCAGGCCAAATCTCTGACACATTTTTCCACGTGCCAACAAAAATTTTTTGGGAACATATAAGAACTTTTTTAAATGATAAAAAATCACCCAGAACAGTAAAAAGACGTAAGATTGTAAGGAATTATGTAAATCTTGTAAAACTGGCTAAATGAAAAAAACTATGACAGGTTTTTACAAAAAAATTTTTGTGATATTTTTTTTTATTAGCCTGTAAGTAAAAATGTTAACTGCCATACGTATTCACACAATTTAAAAGCACTAGCATCAATACAAAAAAGTTCACTGTTATTTTTTTCGATTAATCAATCATTATTTTCCCCCACTTATACATTTTTATGACTAAAACACAGTAAAAGGTCATTAAAAATAATCTTTTGACGATTTTAAATTCCTTACAAATGATGTATAGAAAATATGTATTTATTTACCTTCAAAACTTACATTTAAACAGCCCTGAACCATTGACACTTTCAAAAGAAAACATTAGATAAAACTAGACAGATAAAACAGAAAATTTGTTGACTCTTTCATAAACACAAATAGAAAGAAACTTACATGAAGACAAATCTTTTGTCAATTGTCCAGCTGTATTCTTTTACAACTTAACTATTCTAAACGTAACTGTTTTCTACTCACAGACAAATCTTTAATGCGCTGAATACTCTTTTCCTTTTCTGAAAAATTGTCTGAAAGGAAAGACGTACATTCTAGCTAAGCTTTTTTTCATATACTCCTCATCACTAAGTGATTTTCCATGTTGGGCAATAACTTTTGAAACCTCAAAACTAGCAGCAATTAAGTTGGAACTGAACCTACATAAAGTTCATAAAACTGTCAGCCTATTTTTTGTCTTGCTCAGTTCACGAGAAATTAATTCTTTTTGTTCCTCTTCATTTTTATTGCTTAAGTTCTTTCAAATTGTTTCTTTACAGAAGAAGTCCTACAAACGATTGTTTAGGAATAGAAAATGCATAAGGCTTTATTGTCTATCGTAATCATGCCAAATTTTTCAGTCCAGTATTCTTTAAATTTTCTAATATTCTCTTCATTTGAATGACATCGTTTCTTATCTGATGATTGTGACATTTTGCACAATCTGTAAAGGACCGAAAATAAAATTGCATGAGGTAATGACATGCATAAAAGAGGAGAAAGAATAAAAGTCAAAAAGAGAATCTAATGTATAAGTTTCGCGTGCCATAAACAAGTCATCAGCCGGCCATATTTAGCACGCGTGCTAAGGGATTGTCCACCCTTGCACTAAACCCTCAGTGTATAATAACGACATTTTATTTCAGAAATTCAGGGCAATTTTTAAGCGGTGATCAGAATTTTAATGAAACCTAAACATATGAAAGTGAATTTATACATTTTCTTTGTTCTTCAGAATTGACAACAAAAATAATAAACACTATTCATTTATTAGATTGTTTCTTGACATAATTTATTTATTAGATTGATTATTGGAATGATTGACAAAACATCGGCTAATTGCCAATCGATTCGAACTTTATAAAATGGTAAATAATAAGGATTTCCTTATTCACATATTTTAATAATTTAGTAAATGTTTATAAATAAAAAATTGTTTCCATATTTTTATATAAATTAGTAAATGATAAATATTGCATTAGTTTTAATACAATTATATTGGATTTTAGAATGTTGTAGATATAAAATTATTCTTGTAAATAAACAATCTAATAAATAAATTGTGCTTAATATTTTTGTTTTAAATTCTCAAGAACAAAAAATTTATAATTCACTTTCATCACATGTTTAGGTTTTATTAAAATTTTCAAAAACGTTTTCTAAAATAATAAACATTGCTGATGAGTTAAGATAGTTCAAAGGGAAAAATCGTCCTTTTGACACGCCATTTTTGTTTATGTTTGAGGGCACGAAGATTAATATTGCCAAATTTAGAAATATATTAAATGATGCTAATCAAGATGAATATATTCACTCTATCCAAGATTAATTAAAGCAACATAATTTAAGACCCAATTTGAATGTTTGACCATGTTTTAATAAAAAATGCTTATTATTTCATGGTGTTATTAAATATTGATATTTTCGTATCCATGAATCCAAAAAGAATTCTTTTTTTTTTCTATAGCGACAAGCGGGTATATATATCAAGGTAATCTCCGGATGTACCACAGTCAACAATTTCCGGGCTTGGTTAGCGGATATGGTGAACATCGAGGAGCCTATTATAATGAGGCTTTTATTTATCCAACCTATGTTGACGCAAGTGAGTATATTATGCATTATGGGTTTGATTTTAATGAATCTGTATGAGCTGTCGTCCTTAAATTCTGTCTGTCTTCCGGAATACGGCCGGCTATTGTTTCATGCAAAAGTGAGTGAAAGAAGAAATTGCTATGAAAAAAAGGAAAATTTAAATAAAACAAAAAACAAAACTAAAAACATTTGTTGTTGATATCCACAGTTATAAGAGTTTGATATAAGTAAATCTCAAGCTAAGAGATTGGCTTTTATCAAATAATCCAAGAACGTGTGATCTTAATTCATATCCTCTTGGCATCAGTTTAAACTGACGTCTCTTTAGCATATATTGTACCTGTAGAGGACCGTGTGTGTTTGCGTGTTGTTCTATTAGAAACACGTGTGTAACTCCTGGTAGAATATTAAAAGGTCCAACTACAAGAACTGAAGATGTAAAGAAAACATACAAAACCGATATATATATATATATATATATATATATATATATATATATATATATATATATAACAAACAAATATATGTATTAAACAAAACAATTTTACAATGGACAATAACATTTGGTGTCTGTTCTTTGGTGAATGTTCATACGTACGTGTATGTGTGTATAATATTCATGGCGTCTCCCACAAATAGGAAGACGCGGATCTTCTAAGAGAGCCTACATTGTAGTCACTGAAATGAAGAAATGAAAAAGAGAACGAGGTGAGAAGTCGCCCAGTATTTATAGTATAGGGAGAATGAGAATTATCAGCGGTACGCAATTATCCAGGGACGTATTTGTTTAGGGACGCAAATATCCAGGGACGCAATTGGTTGATACGCAAATATCCGGGACGCAAATATTCAGTATGCAACTGTCCGTTCACTTGATATTCAACCTAGACAGGATCGCCCTGCTTGGAAAACTGACGCAATACAAACGTTTTCCCTAATCCTTCTCCATTTAGTTTTGTGCTGTACTAATCTGGATTTAGTATAGTTTAGTACAAATTTAGAATAGGAGATAAGAAAGTTGAACATAGAATAGGCTTGGCTCGGTGTAGTTTCTCCCAATACCGCAAGTTTCTTCAAAACCAAAAAGCTTAAACTAAAACTCGTCATATTCTTATTTAACCTCGTCAGATCAGACTTTCATGTGGATGGCGTGCCTGGTGCCAAACTCTTTCAGAAATATTTAAACTATTAGTTCTATACATCCGCTTTCTCGGATCGTTGATTAAAAATGGATTCGTGCAAATGAAGCCTGTAAGTCTTCGCAAGAAACATCCTTCTTCGAACCTTGTCGACTGGCGCTGCAGAATCACAAAGAAGTCTACCAAATAACAGAAATGAAATCAATTGAGAACAACTTCCAACAGCAACTATAATTGCTAGAACATGTTACTCGCTGAGAAAATAATGACATGATCAAGATGTTGATCCTCCACGCTACTTAGCACAAAAGGTTAGGAAGGAAACCTCCGTCAATATTGAAAAGAGCTATAACAGTCAAATCGAGAAATCCATTTTCCTGAAAAATTGTTTTGACAGAAAGATTTTATAAATTTCAACAAGCTCGGTCATTGATTTCCGAATATTTCCACATAAGCAAACGATTAATATTATCATTACCATTATCATATTATCATTACCATTATCATATATGAAGAAATTAAAGTAAACAATCTTACAATCTAATAGATCGTTGGTTGAACTGCAAATGAATTCGGATTCTTCTTCTATGTACCATGTCCTTTCAGCACCCCACAATAGCGATCATGTCACCCACCCTCTTAATAAATTTTGTCTTTTTGCTATCTCTCGTAAACTTTGATCTGTCGCCCATTTATACAAGCTCGTTAGGTAGTTCATGCGTTACCTTCCTCTGTCCCTCTTGCCTTCAATATGTCCTGTCAGTGTCAAATTTTCCAAGCCCTCTTTCCTCATTATGTGCCCTAGAAATTTAAACTGTCTCTTTACGTATAAATGTCCTTTTTGTTAGCATTTTCTCTAAAACTTCGCTGTTGCTCACATCTTCAGTCCATCGTATTTCTGTTGCCTCAAGTCTTTTCCTTTTTGCTTATACTAATGCTCATCCAGTACAAGGCCCAAGAGCCGCTCAATGTAGAAGGCTACTGCGTAGTGTTGTATGAGCATAAGAAAGGGCAAGGGATGAAGTTCATGGGGCTATGTAGAAAAGTTAACGGCTAACACTAGACTTGATGAGGTCAAGATTGTAGGGATTGGGAAAACATCCGACCGGCAGTCTGCTTCACAAATCAACAGATATTTGGAATAAACTGTCCGATCTGTGATGAGATTGTCCAGGATTCGCTGCCTTATCAGAAGTTACTCTTTTTTTGTTTTTATGTTCCTTAATTGTTTTTTGTTTGTTTATTGTTCAGGGCTGTCTCATCGAAGCAGTATGAGGTTTCTTGAAGCAAGTGGTTATTACACAACGGAAGAATTGTCTCGAGAAAATCATAATCGAGATGTTTTATATCATCAGAGGCAGCGTAATTCATCGGAACTAAGAGAATCCAGACACAGCAGCTTCCTTCGAGAAGACAGTGCGAAACCGTCGCGATTCCAACAAAAATCACCCCAAGAAAGAAAATCTAGATCCAATGAATCCGCAGCGAATTCGCGGTCGTCTTCCAAAAACAAAAGCGCCACTGCTTCGACAGCCAGCGGCGCCGAATCCGTCATCGAAAGGCCAAACATTCAAGAAGCGAACAGATCTTCCGTCGTATCCTCTGCTCCCGCCATCGATAAAGTAAGCGAATCAATAGAAAGCAGAACTGAAGAGAAACCTGAGGACTTTAGGACACAAGCCGATGGTAAAACGAAAGCTGAAATAGCCACTCCTTCAACATCTACCCACGTCGAACCTGATAACAGTTCTCTGGATCATTTAAACCTAGCACCTGAACAGCGAGACATTCCATCCGATCAGCAGAGCTATGTAGATAGCGTCAGCGATGTTACAGATCTGGAAAGTAAAGGTAAATAATAAATCTATTCATATATTTTTTTTAGTTTGACATGGAGCAGACAGTGAGGAACGAAATCATTTTAATGGTTTCCGAGATTGACTCGCTAACCACTACACTAAGGCAGAAGTGAATGCGCATTTCTTGCCTGAGATATTAATGAAAGTTAATTAGATAATCATTCCTTATAAAATCTATTCGAGCAGATATTTTCAAACAGAAGGCATCTGGTTCCTAGGGAATAATTTCAAATCTAAATGGAGAAATTCTAACTTGGCGTGGTTGAACTTCAGTCATATATTTAGTATAATAGTGAAAAATTAACACAGAGTAGATGCAGAAAAATTCTCAGCTCTACGAAGAAGTTCTTATCAATCAATCAATCAATCAATCAATCAATCAATCAATCAATCAATCAATCAATCAATCAATCAATCAATCAATCAATCAATCAAAGGGCTTACGGTCACATCACGTTGAAACACCGGTTCCCATACGATCACCGAAGTTAAGCAACGTCGAGCCTGGTCAGTACCTAGATGGGTGACGGCTTGGGAATACCAAGTGCTGTAAGCTTGGATGTGTTTGTAGTGTAATGGATAATGGCACGGAGTTGTTGATCGGAGAGTCCAGTTCTAATTCCAGTTGTGTTCGTTATATTATTGGGAAAGGTATGAATCCATCTCTTCTCCTCCTGTTATGGGTTAATTAGTAAGACTTGTATCACTAAAACCATTATTATCTAAAAAAATAAATAAATAAAATAAAATTACGTAAAAAATATTTAGATTTCGACATTAAGTTACCCATAGAGATGTTGATATGCCACTAAACAAAAATAGCCAACCAACCAATAAATAAATGATGTTTGGTCATCTGGTCTGATTTTAGGAAGGATTCAAACCGAGAACCTTTCAGTATTTGCTCGGGGATGACAATTCAAAGTGGGAGAGGAATTTGGTTATTTTTGTTTAGCGGCATATCAACATCTCTACGGGTTATTTAACGCCGAAATCTAAATATATTTTGTACGCAATTTTATTTATTTATTCATTTTTGAGATAATAATGATTTTAATGATATAAGTCTTACTAATTAACCCATAGCTGGGGGAGAAGAGGTGGATTCATACATTTCCCAAGAATACTTGCGTGAAAGCGAACATAACGAACTTAACTGGAATTGGAACTCGGCTCTCCGGTTAACAATCCCGAACATTATTACACTACTACACCACATCCAAGCTTACAGCACTTGGTGCTGACGAGATTCGACGTTGCTTAACTTCAGTGTTCGTACGGGAACCAGTGTTTCAACGTATGGTGGCCGTAAGTCGGGAGAGGGAGTGAGGTAATCTATTAGCTCCATAACCATCACAGACGATCTGAACGTGTGGTGCCCGTACAGAGGCATCTGCCTTTCCTGTGCTCATCTAGAGCACAGGAAAGGCAGATGCTACATTCAAGAAAGCTGGCTAGCACTGAATCGTTAATGTTGGCGGTTAGAGCCAAGAGCACGGTGTGCTTTTTCATTTTTCATGGCAAGCTGTCATGTTAATCCTTTCGATATGCATGAAAGACAAATGAGAATTTTCAAATTTGAAGTATGCTGCGTAATATTACATTCGGGTGTCTTCCGTGTAGATATCTATCCGCCCGTCTACTCGAACAGAGTTTAAAACAAGACCGACTTTGAAGTGAAAGTCGCATGTACGCGTTGGACTCGTAGCTGGCCACTTCTTATCGTCTGTAGCTCTAAGGAATGTGTGTGTGTGTGTGTGTGTGTGTGTGTGTGTTTACGATCCCGCCTATCCCCTATTCTGTCATCGATTTACATACGATTGTTAAGTACGTTACTCGGTGTTTCCCTCAGTATCTCTCGCCTTTAATATGTCCTGTGGGTGTTAGCAATATACGGACAAGACAGTGATGGTAGTCTGTGATTGTTTACATGGATGATTTCCTAGCAACACATCATCACTGTCTTGTTCGTATATTGCTTAATATGTTGTACAGTAATTGACATATTTGATAATGGCTTATGTAAGCCGAAAGCTTAGATTGGATTAAAAAATATGGATCAATATTGTGATTTTCTTTCTTCGTTTAATGGTAATGTTATTAAGCTTATCAGACGTTATGAAAAGAATTCACATAAAATAAATAGACAACACTTGTCTATATTATTTAATGAAACATGTATGAATGAAAAAATGCTGCCTAAATACACACACACACTATATATATATATATATATATATATATATATATATATATATATATATATATATATATATATGCGATTTTTCTTTGTTAAGATTTCTCGAATATGCAGGCTTACAGACGTTATATACATTTCTAATAAATACAAATGGGATGTCTATTTCAAATACGGAGTATAAAAAATAACGTGTAAATAGAAAATGTATTAAACAATTGTCGGGCTTAATCCATATAATAATATGTAGTGAATGTATACGTTAAGGTACGTTTCGTGAGGAGATATGATCGAAAACACTAATTTAGTCCTTGCTAACCTGTCGATTTTCTGTAGCTGAGTGGTATAGCACGTCAGATCAATTGACGGTTCCTTCTCGGACACAGGTTCGATTACTGTCGGAGAACGCATATTTTCTACGAAATTTCTCGAACATTGAGGACGGTAAATGTAATTAATATTGTTATTTAAAAAATAACGTATAAACAGAATATATATATATATATATATATATATATATATATATATATATATATATTTACAAATTCATGAATCATTCATACAATAAAACAAATAGAGAAGTTAATGATTTAAATGGCGAGAATACATCTTCGCAAACAATATCAAAAAGATACACCAACCCCGAACCTGTATATGAATGAGATGATCCCTGTTTATAAATTCCAGTTGCATAGGGTCTTTTTAATTTTTACAAGCTTTCCTCTGTTCCTACAGACATCATCAGGTATGAAAATAGGTCTGATGAATTTGATCGTATTTACGATTCCAATGGAATAAATTATGACCATGGAATATTAGTGTTTAAGCTTTTTTATTATATCCTTACTCTGTCCTGGACATTGAGTTCTACCTGGATTCTATCCTCTTGGAATTATTTTTTATACAAATATATATGTATGTGTATGTATGTATATTTATGTATATATTTTAGATATATGATTGCATATGTATGTGTATATTTACCACTAATATTATATATATATATATATATATATATATATATATATATATATATATATATATATATATATATATATATTTGTAATAATAATAATTTTTGTTTGGCATTTTTGTGATTTCAGGTCAGAAAATCACAACACAAGCTTTTGAATTCTTAGATACTTATATATCTGATGCTGATGATGATATGGATCGATCGAAATATTATTCAGGTAAATATGAATCAATTTAGTTTTGGGACAAAAAATCTCACATTATAAACAGAGTTTTTTTTTTTTTTTCTCAAATTCACTTTTGTGTTTATAAAACCCGTGTAAATAAAAAGATAGCCCATTAAATGTAAGCATTATGAAAATATTGTAAATTTTCTTTTTTTCATCTTTTTTTAATTTTTTTAAGCGTTTCACCCCAAGCATGCAATGACAGTTGGAGCTAGAGTAAATAGGAGTGATAGAGGAAAGGATGAAGAGAAGGATAGGGGATAGATCAAGGTATCTGGTGACATCGGTTAACATGAATAGTTGGAGATTATAGCTACCAGAGCAACAGGAAAAGAGGAGGGAGTTCCACAGGCGAGAAGTGAGAGACATGAAGCTATTGGAGTAGAAGAGACGGCTACATTTAACAGTTTCGACTGTGAAAGGATTAGAGCGAGATGCCAGCCTAGTTGAGCGCTTAAATTCATGAAGCCTGGGAACCAGCGAAAGCAGCTCATCGGAGCAGTTACCATGAAAGTATTTGTAAAAAAGACAGAGGGAGGCGACGGCACGTCTGTGAGAGAGCGACTGCAGACGAGATGGACCAGTTACATTGCATACAAATATTGCCTTATTAAGAAAGTTTCCGAAAAAAGTTTATGCATTGCTGATGGTGGAAAGTTAGAATTTTTTTTTGGTATTTTTTACTAAAAATCAGATCGAACTGGACAGAAACACAAGAATCGCAATCTAATGTAAAATGTAAATGTTAGAATCCCTGAGAAACGATGATGTCTGGGAAAAGTCCTCTTATTAATTAACCCATAGCTCAGGGCCAAATCAGATGTTGCATTTTTTTACAAACAAAATATGAATATCTATCACCCTTAATCTACGCGCCTGAGTTTATACACACTGGATTTGCCGATAGTGTAAGGGTGATTTTCTAAGCGTAGCCTAGATGTGATACAAAGCATAGGGCACTGAATGAGGATCGAACCCTGTAGTCAGTCGTGATTGTTCTAGCGAGACAAGCTTGCTAAACATTACACTATGCCGAGGTGCCCGAATATGGTGATTCTCTAAGCGTAGCTTAGATATGACATAATGCCGAAAGTATGCGGCACCCAGTGAGGATCGAACTCGCTACCCAGTCGTAATTGTTCTACAAGCTTGCTTACCATTAGATCACGTCGAGTTGCCCAATATGGTGATTCTCTAACCGTAGCTGAAAGTATGGGGCACCCAGTGATTGAAATGGACTGTGGGACAGGTAATAGCACACCTTTGTTTTGATTTACTTTGTTTAACGCAAACTTTTTAAACAACGGCACACCTAAGAGCAAATGAAAATATTACGGCACACTTAGCAAAATTTTTAAAAGGTATACATTTAAATCTTATGAAAAAAAAAACATGGATTTAAAAAACGGTACACACACAAATATGAACTATTTGCGCAGCTTATTTAGTATCAAATCGATGGCTGGTGTTTTCTCGCGATTTCTTTAATGTTTAGTCGAATGTGCGATAAAACAGACTCTCATTTCTTCTTCAGTCGAGCGTAATCATTATCGCTTCTTATTTTTTTTTTTTAAGTTATTTAGGATTGAAAAGCCTAATTCACATAAATAAGAATTAGAAAATTACAATAAAACTGATAAAGCCTTTTTAGTTAATGTGGGATAATAAGTTTAATACGTATTCATTTATTCAAATACTAACTTTATACCATGACTACTTCCATACACTCATATACCGTATTTTCCGCCTTACAAGACGTTTCTGCTTGGAAGATGCACCCTAATATTGGAAAGAAATTTCTAAGAAAAAAAAATCATTCTCATACAACAACACATTCACCATGTGTCCCTCAAATACTGGCACCACGTATTGTTTACATTAATCATTCGTCTGATTTTGTTTGTATGGCAATGACATACTAGTCAACAGCATAAAGGTTCCCGCCGCTGCTAGTAAACAGAGCATTTTAAGCTTGTGGCTCGGCTCCAGGAAGTAAGGTTTATAGTCTTAAAATACTTGTAACAGCTAAGTACTGAGGTTACATCATATAAAAGGCTGAATTAGATAGGTAGCTAACATTATAGTGCAATGACTCAACATATAAATCCACATCAAGCTAATTAAGTGACCGCTCAAACGTACTTGACCCTGGGCGTTGCCTTATATTCCTTTGAAAGTCGCACACGTATTTTCCAGGGTATTTTTTAGGAAAAAAAAGTGCGTCTTATAAGCCGGAAAATAAAGTATATGTATACAGTGAAATTATTTTGCGGGCACTTAAAAGGATCAATAATGTGCCGCGGCACAGCGACTAAGAATCACTTATCTAGCGTATCTTAATCCAAGTGGAAATCATATATGATCCAACATAAATGATGTTGGAAAAAATTATTTGTTCTTTGTATCGCTGCATAAAGTGCTTAATCCCTGCTATATTTTATCTTTGCAAGAGTAAAATCAATCCAAAAAATGGTGTATTCCTACCATATCTAGGCTGGGGCTGCATAATCCTCACTTTCCAGTCATGATAGAGTCCACAAAAGTTCACGATGCCTTATGGGCGATGACTCTTTTTTCCAGTTTACATCCTCTTTCCCCGCAGACGCAATGTTGCAAGCCTTTTGCTGCTTCCATGGCAAATGTTTGACGACCTCCATTCTTAATACCAGCAGCTCAGACTTTTACAACCAAGATCCACCTTGCTACGTCCACAGGGCTGAATAATTCCCCGTTCCTTTCATTCATTTCCGATTAGAAAGCTTCTTCCCAAAGATCGATTCTTTGTGGAACAGGCACCCGCGTTTATCAATCCGCTATATCCTCGTAATCTCCACTTCCTATGTTTTTCTTTTATGTTCATATGACACATCTCATTCAATAACGCTCTACCTTGAGTGGCACTTGGGCATTGTATTGGGTAAATATTAGTAAAAATGAAATTTAAAAAAAAAACTTCTGTAGAGAGATAATTACTAACTAGAAAATTATATCTTTGCCGAAGTTTTTTTATTTTATTTTTTTTTACTAAAGTTTATCCAATACACGCCCAAGTATCACTCAAGGTAGAGCGTTACTGAATTGGATATGTGATATGAACATAAAAGGAGGAAATATGAAGTGTAGATTACGAAGATATGTATAGTATATAATTCGTCAGGGCTACATACCCAGTGTACCAATATGGAGCTGTTCTCTACCCGTCTTGGGACACTGGGTATCTAGTCCTGCTGAGTCGCTGTTATACAGTCATTGAAAAGATTTTGGTGTTCACGGTTAGTCGTCGGGCCGAAATCGAATTCCAGATGAGTTACATTTACTTTTCTCCAAACACCTTTGAAAAATGTATAAATCCATCTCTTCTCTCCCCAGCTATGGGTTAAATAGCGGCGTTAAATATCAGGCCACACTGGGTTTTCTAGTCGTGGTTGGAAACCGTATGAGAATACAATTCAAAAACGGATGTCGTCTTCAGGAGGCGCATACCATGCAGCCATTGAACAGTTTATAGAATTCGCAATTAATCACCGCGTGGGATTGTAAACGCCATGATCTGGATTGGAGTCGAATTAAAAAATTGTTGTTTTTCATTTATGTTGCCAATGATGCCGGGAATGAAATCGAGGTCTTTCATAAATACCCTTGGGAAAGGTATAAATTAATCTTTTCTTCCCCTAACTATGGGTTAAATAAAGTTCTCTAGCCGTGTTAGGTAACCAGTATAGGAGAAGAGCAAACATTGAATCCCAAAACATTTCACTTTGAAACACTTGCGAAGAGCGTGCTATACAGACATTGAAAAAAAAGATTATTGAGATATTTCAGCTTTCTACAAAACTTGCTTATTGAATAGGGCTTCCGAAATGATAATGTCACACTGCACGATGAAAGAAATACGAGTCAAAAATCAATAATAGTTGATAAAGTTGTTTACGCTTATTAAAGTCTGATACTTCTTTTTCTTTACATTTATCTTGATAAGAATCGTAATAGAGTTTTAAAATAAGGTAAAATCCCAGCCTATTTACAGATTATGAAAATAAAAACAAAAGCGAAAGAAAAGAAAAAATAACAGACGAATATAATTCAGAAATATCTTCAGTTTTCGATCTTTTTCTTTTCTTTTTTCTTTATCATTGTTTATATTCGAAGTTGTTTGAAGCCGACGACCTAAAAAGCATTTCCTGTTTTCCAGTTATCTAATATTTCCGGTCACGCAAGTTTCGATGTGTCCTAATAATATGAGACGCGAGAAAGTCTATCAAAATTGCCACCAAAATAGGAAATTAGATTAAAACAGTAGCCACAGATTCTATAGTCTTTCTGCTGCGTCTCTCCTCAGCAATAATCTATCTTATATTCAAATCGAATTATATAAAAAATATATCGCTTCGTGTTCCTTTCTCTTCTTTTCAAATTCTCTTCTTTTCAAATCACAAGGAATTCGCAACAATTTGCAAATGCATGAACCATACGAAAATTATATATTTTTATTATTTATATAAATATACAGTTATACATATAATAGCACTATCCTGTTAGTAACATTGGCAAAGTTATCGTAGTTGAGACTTATAAAAATAAAAGACAAAATCTCTCAGATTTAACATCATTGTTTAAACTTCAGACTTCGTCAGTTACTTTTAGCGAGTGGATGCGTGATTTGGGAGTTTTCTCCAAACGTAGATTCTACATTCCCGCGAAGATGGAAGAGAATTCTTTTTTCTTCCCTTGTCATGGATGCTTATATATCTGCCAGTCATACGGTTTGTCCCATGTGTGCACATCCTGCGCGAGGCTGGGTCAACGATCTGTTTACATATCGAGAACATCCATGGTATTCAGTTTCTTTTTTTGTTTTGATTTTTTAACTCTTTATGGGTCATTTAATGCCGAAATTTAATTTTCATGGAAGCATTAGTAATTTCTTTACAAAAATGTATTATTGGTAATATTTTTTCCTTAGAAAAATGTATTTCTAGTTATTTTTTTTCTTTACAAAAATGTATTTCTGGTGCCTTAACCATAAAACTGTATTTCTACATTTTCAAAGTGTCACTATTTGCCTATAGCTGGGCTCCCAGCAGGTGCTACCACCCCCAAATCAGGGTGAACCTGGGAACAACAGCAATTAAGAGGTGGTCCCACGCTCCTCAAAACTTCCGATGAGAGGCCTTGCTGCCGGATGTAGTTTATCGTCATACTCAGGACGAATGGCATTCTGTGAGGCGCTGATGCACTTTGTTTTTCTGAAACTGCTGCGTAACACAGAGTAAAAAGTCGATTTTTGGAAACACCTGCAATAAGAGTTATATACTACACCTTATTTTCTGGCCACTGAATTAAATACAATGCAGTTCTATAGTACAAGTATATACTTAAGTTACTTGTAAGATAATTGGCGATGTCTTCTTACAGTGAAATGTATTTATATTATACATGCATAATATATAATTGCATCAAAACTTTAATTTCTTCGAATGATTACGAATATGAAACTGCAAGCATTGGTGGTAGGGAAAACATAAAACAATAATAATGTTTTTCTTTTAGAAACGGCTGCATTTGAATCCAGTATACGGTGGTGAAGGGTTGCTCCTGTCTTCTCTCTAAATATAACGATCCTTCATCAAACTCACCGCATTTCCTGAGCCATTTTCTATACTAGCCAAATAAAATGTCAGCTAGCAGCAGTAAAATAAAAAGGAAAATGAATTCTCTGTGATGAGGAAGTAGTGAAATTCGTAAAGACGGAATCAATGATTTTACAGTCACAAGAAGGATTGAACCTCAGAAGGCTCGAACCGAACATCACTCTATGCTAGGCGGTCTTATTTGTGAGGCCTGGCATAATGGATTTTACAGTACGTCCACTCCGCTACCGAATGAGACACGAGGTCAGTTTAAAGTGGATTAATTGCTTAAGCTCCTTTGGTATTTCCCCCTTTTGAGGACGTCTCAGGAACCGGATAATGACTCCAGCCCCTTCCCGAAAGAAGTACTGCCTGGGGGATACCACCCCTGGAGCTTGAGCATAATATTATTTTGAAACTTTCCCTTGCATAACCTGACCAAGGGAAACAAATGAAAATGCTCCGTGAAAACTAAACTCACTTCACTAACATATCGTTCAGTTAGACAGACTAATCACTGCTCCACGGCAAGACGTCCTAAAGTATTTGCTAAATTAATTTAATCGTAACCAGGGATACGAGAACCGGGCAACCTGTTTCGATCAAATTATTTCAGAGGATATAGTAGCTAAGTAAAAAATTATGTCAAATATGTTTATTTACTAAGGCTAGCTCAGTCTGGCGCATGCGTACGAGATCAGGAGAATCCGTAAGAATTGAACAGATTCATTAGCGAGTTTTCTAGCTTGCTTACCATCACTCTATAGCAGGTATCTGTTAGTTTCTTCATTGTGCCATGTTGCTTCATGATATGAGCGATCATGGCTCCCTATCTCTTGCTCTAAATAGCTTTTGGAACTTTACTATCTTTGTCTACCATCCATTCATGCATATGCATTAAATGAGTGATCATGGCTCTCGACAACTTCCTGTCTTTTGTAGCTGTAAATAACTTCAGACCTTTTGCTATCCCTCTTGTCTCTGTTCTGCCATCCATTCACACAAATTCATAAGGAATTTTACTCACTGTTTTCATCTGCGTCTCTTACTTTTGGTATGCCTTGTGAGTTTTAAATTCTCTCAGCCTGCTTTCCTCATTATATGTCCCAGAAATTTCAGCTATCTCTTTCTGATTGTATCACTTCCCTTGTATTTCCAATATACCTTAAGACTTTCACATTGCTCGGATGTTCCTGTCTATATTATTCTCAGAATTCGTTTGTAGAACCATATCAATGTCACTTCAAGTTCCTTCTTGGAGGAAATTTTTCAGCATACTCTACCATATAGGAGATCAGATATTACATAGTAATCCTTGGACGGTCAGCAGGTGAACTCAGGATCGGCTAACCTCCTCAATGACATCATTTTACGCAGCCACACGCCCCGACTCTGCTTTCTTTTTCACTTTTATATTTTAATAACTTGCTTAGTTTCTGGAAAACATCTTTCACTATTCCTATGCGCCTTCAGATTTCAATTGTCTCTTTCTGATTATTAATGAAAATTTCATTATTGTTTCTGCTCTCTCATCGTTTACTCACATATTCTGTATATGGTATTCTCAGAATTCGTCGGTAGAATCATATCTGTGTCACTCCAAATTTGTCTTCATCTGTGAAAAGATTGTCAGGCATTCACTGTCATATATGAAGTCCTCGGTCGTTCAGAAATGGTCATTGAAGTCGCCATCTTCAAGTATCGCCTCTGGTGATCAGGTCACGTCAATCAGAATGACCTCTTCAAGACTCGCAAACAATTTTTTACGTCTAGCTCGTCAACGTCAAACGACATCATACATTCATAGATCAATTGGTCTTCCTCCTTCAAGACTGAATCAGCACTAACTCCTGGGAAACAGAAGCGGACGACCGTGCATCCTGGCGAAAGGCGATTCATTTCGGTTGTTCCACTTTCGGGGAGGGCAGAAAGACTGAAGAGGAAGTAACAAGTAGTTAAGGCAGGTACCAGAAGATCCAGCCAAAACCATCACCCGCCCTACCAGGCGACCAATATCCGAGACTGTCCCATTCCCGATTTGGCCTCCTGAGGCATGTCGGGTCCAAGCATCGTCGAGGCACCGGATGAACCAAACTCGTTCACGAGTGGTACCAAAGACCATATGACAGTGAGATGTTTGATGTAAATACTGATATTAACATATTCTTTTTCAAGGTTCGATAAAAATAAGTTGATCAATAAACGACAATGATTAGAAATTTTAATAAATGACTAATTCTTTTTAATTGATCAACATCGATATTTCTTATTATTCTTATATATTTTCTTTTATTCCATTTCACAGGCAAATCCTAGGACGATCAGCAGGTGAACTCAGGATCGGCTAACTTCCTCAAGGACATCATTTTATGCAGCCACACGCCCCGACTCAGCTTTCTTTTTCACTTCAATATTTTATTTCAGTATGCATTTAAGTCATTCAAAATACCGGACACTGATAATTTCATCGGTAGGGCGTGGCTCTGTATAATTAAGGTGACCTGCTAAGAGTTTAATATTGCATTGACTGAATTGCTTAAAATCGGATTGAAGAGGAAAATGAAACAGGACTCTAAGAATAACAAAAGCGAAAAGGTATAAAGATCATTTATACCATCGCATGCAATAAAAAAGACTTTAAAATCTTTCTTCAGTAATATGTATATACGCCTGTATATTATACGTACATCTATGATTTTCATGAATATATTCAAAAGGCCATATGCATATATTTGCGAGTGACGCATATGCAAGCTGATATCTATAAATAGTCGTATGTGTATATAACACATTTTTGAGAAAGGTAAATAGAGGGTACATATATATATATATATATATATATATATATATATATATATGGGAGAAAGTTAAAACTTATCCGCATTCTTATATAAAATGTCATGGCGAAAATGCGGATAATTTTGACTTACTCTCATTCATATATATATATATATATATATATATATATATATATATATATATATATATATATATATATATATATATATATATATATATATATATATATATATATATATATATATATATATATATATATATATACGGATGTTATCGTTTGTAGTATATATTATAAAATATCATGTATCATGTAAGCATTTTTTTACTCATATTTGAGGGCAATGAAATTTAGGGCCATATAATATTGTCTATCCGTATAATCATCAATACTAAAAAAAACAAAACAAAAAAAACAACAAACATCTGCAGAAAGACATACACAATATATAAATTGCTTAAAATGTGGAATATTTATGTGGGAATAGTGTTCGATATCTGAGCGTTTGTAGTAGGTATCGACATACGAATCAACACTGTGATGACTCTGTTACACACCACAAACAATCTCTTGCCTGAAGAAAACTTGAGGCGTGAAACTACCACCCTCCATTCTGTGTTGATTAATATGTTCACGCATACACGCTATGTGTTGATATATATATATATATATATATATATATATATATATATATATATATATATATATATATATATATTTTTTTAAATATGTTTCAATCGCTACACAGGAATTACCATAATAATAATGTAACGTGAAAACCTAAGTACAATACATGTACATAAACATAACCCTCCAGGGAAAAACACACACACACATGTATACACATATATACGCATATACACACACACACACACACACATATATACACATATACACACACACATATATATACACATATATACACATATACACACACATATATATATACACATATACACACACATATATATACACATATATACACATATACACACACACATATATATACACATATATACACATATACACACACACACATATATATACACATATATACACATATACACACACATTTGTGTGTGTGTGTTTCCCCGGAGGGTTATGTTTATGTACATGTATTGTACTTAGGTTTTCACGTTACATTATTTTGGAGAAGTTAAACTCCGTGACAATAAAATCTAAAGGAGAACTGTTCGGGAGTTTCGTGTCTCACTGTCTACCATTTCTATTAATTAATCCATCCTGCAATCATTATACAATCATTAACTCGTTAGGGTTCTGCTAATTAACTCCTCTGCAAGCTAATTTCCTACATTTTCGAATAGTTTATTTTTGAATTTTTTTATCACTGTTACCGCGTGTCTCCTATTTTCTGTGGAGAACACGAGAAACAGTAATTCGCAGCCTTTTATCATTGGCGCCTCTTCACTTAACTATTTTATTAATATATTTACTGAGATCAAAAAATTATTTCCATAAATATTTATTAAACAAAAAGAAAAAAAAAATGAAATTAATGTGAATTTAGACCCTTTTTGTTCGTTACAAACTTATGAATCATTGGCGATATATATAGTAAAGGTAATAAATCTGTTGGCATATAATCCAAGTGGATCCTAGTAATATAAAATATTAAAACAGATCCACAAAAAGAGCTCAATGTATTTATTATTACAGAGCAAAAATTAATACACAATAAAATTCAAAATCACCTCATATGGGGAATAAGCTTATTTCGACCGACAAAAATATAATTAGTCAGTCTTATTCAACCCCGGTATAGACTGAGTTCATGTCGGAAATAGAAATTTAACTATGAAAGCTATTAAAAAAAAAGTCGAAAAACTAATACAAAATGTATCCATTTCAATGTTTCAGTCAGACGAAAGGCACGAGTCAGCGGTCGGAGGTCAGGGGAGAATATATATATATACAGTTGGATTGATGTGAGTCTGTGACCCTGGGTTTCACGCTATTTGCGATCGTCAGACAAAATGATTAATTTTTAGAAAACAGACGGATAGAAGATGTGTGAACGACGCATGTGCATTACGTGTGTGCGAGAAAACATTATTCGGTGAACAAAATAGACGAACTGTCTGCGCGTCGACACCGCAACTGACGAATAATGTTCGCTACACAATCCAACATTGAATACAGCGACCAACTGCGTACCTATGTACGCAACGACATATGTATGCGCATATATACTCAGTCCCACACTGTTCATATATGTTTATGTTTATGTTAGCATTAATGAGTGAACGTGCGTGTATGTATGTCTGAGTACGTCAGTGAGTGAACGTGCGTGTATGTATGTTTGCGTACGTATGAGTGGCGTTCCGACGACAATTTTTCCTCCCATTATCATAAAAACACCGATATACGCAACCATATATAAATCCAAAATTTAAAAATTAATCAGTTTGCCTGACGATCGCGAATAGCGTGAAACCCAGGGTCACAAACTCGCATCAATCCAACTAAATATATTAGCTCTATCACTGATATTGAGCGCTTTCCAATAAGTTCCGCGCATATATTATATATAAATAATATATATAAAAAATTGCATACATATATATATATATATATATTTATATATATATATATATATATATATATATATATATATATATATATATATATATGTCTAAATTATTTAACCAAACCTGTTTGAATATATATATATATATATATATATATATATATATATATATGTATGTGTGTGTGTGTGTTCAGGTTTGGTTAAATAATTTAGACATACTATGGCTGTTTATTTTTGTTTTAATCCTTTCGAGTCTACGAATCAATTTCTTGGTAGCCGAAGAAAATTGATTAAGAAAAATACCAAAATTTTCTTTCAAATATTTTTCTTTTCCCAAATACTTTCAGTCTCATCTGAGACAATCTTCAGGAGGTTATATTCTCTGTGTATGTGTAAAAGTATTTCTGGAAATTCAGAAAACATTTTTACTGCATTTTTTATTAATTTAACCCCCTGACGTTGGTCTCACATGAAACCGAAATTATTTAGCTTAATAAAAATTGTTTTAAAGAAAATTTTGGTATTTTTCTTAATCAATTTTTTACGGCTACCAAGAAATTGATTCGTGAACTCGAGAGGATTAAAACTAAAATAAAGAGACATGGTATGTCTAAAATATTTAACCTATACTGTTTGAAGGAAAATATGCGTCCTATATATATATATATATATATATATATATATATATATATATATATATATATATATCTAAAGAGGCTGAGTCTTATAGCTGAATAGAGTTTTATAGTCAAATGATTTGTGTATTTTGTTATAGAATATGTCATAGTCTTCTGGGACGCACGTGTAGTTTAACTGTTATCAGCGTTCTACATGTTTGAATCGGCGAACCGTTGTTCAAATTCTACTCTAATCTGCTGCGTTCACTTTCGCATAAATGGCCTTGACAAAAACATAAATTCATCTCTTCTTCTTTCAGCTATGGATCAAGTAGCAGGGCTGACTATGCTCTCTAGCCTAGGCTGGCGACCAGTCTAGTAGAAGTAGAATTCTTATTTCATATCTGTGACAACGGTAAATATCTCCAATGTCTTTCGAAAGAAGTCATGACAATTCAGAGATAATAATAATAATAATAATAATAATAATAATAATAATAATAAAAAGAATCTGTGAAGATCCATTATCGACAATATCCTGTAGAGACAGGACATTCAAAAAGAAATTTTGAGTCCAGAAACAGAAAATTGTGAATTATAGCAGAAATCTTATAGATATCTGGATATTATTTGTAAAATTTCAGCCAAAATTTACGAACTTCAATTCTCTAAATTCATTTTTTCAAAGTAAATTTTATCAGTATATTTGATAGTAAAAGTAAAAAAAAAAAATACTGAAAAAAAAAAAAATACTGAAAAAAAAAATGGAAATATTGAATGCAAAACGGTCACTTTGCCGTTTAGGCCTGCATTGATGTCGTTGAAAATAATCAAAATTTAGTTTTTTGACATATATATATATATATATATATATATATATATATATATATGTGTGTCGGTACGCGCGTGCGTGTGTGTGTGTGTATACATACATGTGTGTGTGTATACATACACGTGTGTGTATACATACATGAGTGTGTGTGTGTGTATACATACATGTGTGTGTGTGTGTGTGTGTGTGTGTGTGGGCGGAAACACTGTTAACTTATAACTGATTACACAATTTCTGTTCCGAAAAGAAAAGTTTATAGATTTCAACATGAAGCTAAAAAATTTGACAAAATAAAATAAATTTTATTGCAACCCTTTCATTTTTTTTTTCTTCTTGCGACTCTTATATTGAGAGATAATGATTTAAATTATCTTTTTTTTTTTTGTCTTAGCGAAAATACGGAACAAAACTAACGTTTCTTGAAGTCACTAAAAATTAAGAGGCCATCAGAAAACATCTCTAATTTTTTTCAACAAAAGCGTCACTTTGTTTCGCACATATATACACACAATTGTACGCTCA